TTTCCACTGTAATACGTACGTCATTTCAGCAAAAATATTACATTTCCATGTTTATTTCTGAGAATATATTCATTCAGTCACAGTTAAGGTACAGGGTTTAACCTCACTTCATTATATCTCTGGGCAGTTTTGTGGCTCATTATTGGCTGTGTTGAACTATTCACTCACTATATCAAGGCTCCAGACTAACCTAACCTTTCTCACCCAGAGGTCGTCACCCCAATAAATTGTGGGAAACATCAAGAATGTTGTTGAATTATGATCACAGTGTAGGGGAATAACAAAAGGTATTTTATCCTTACTTGATAATTAATGTGACTCAGAGGAACTCTCAAAGTGAGGTTCTATGTCTGCTGTACTTACACTCTGGAGGGTTAAGTATGTGATCTGCTAGTTCCCCTGTACAGTACATTAGTATTCAGTCCATATATTAACACTAAATGTTTATGAACACATTAAAACCACAGTAATACTACCACCGTAATACTACCTTAAGGTGTATTTTAGATGAAGACTATACAATTTGCAGCAAGTCATATTTTTCATATTCCCTAACAAGCGTCTGCCACTTTTAGTTCGATTATGTGCAGTTATACTGTAGAGGGAAAATGAGAGTGAATTGCTGTTGCTAAGGTTTCATTTTGCCTAAATTTATGATCCTTTAGACTGTCCTAAGCAATACAGTAATTTGTCCAGTAAAGCAACTTACTTTCTGTTCCTGAACTATAGAGATCATAACCTCAAAATCATTAGGGAAAAGCTCAAGAGGAATTTTGGATTAGACAGCCTCCTGGGTGTTCTATCTTCTACCTCCCTCAACCCATCCTTCCACCTCCTCTTTGGTCATCCCCTCATCCGTACCATCCAGTTCTGAATTATGCATTCTTTTATGCAATCTTTCACTTTCCATTCTCTCCATATGTCTCTGCCACCTCAGCAAATCCTGGTCAACTCCTGTCAACAATTACTTGTAATGGACCTTTACTTCTAACCTATGGAATTCAGAATCAGAAGTAGTCTTCCTTTCCTTAATAAAAAATTTATACGTATATACATGAAGTTTGGTCCAAATCAGCAGAACTGAACTCAGGATATCACATTGTGATATTATCACAATATTATTTTTCTTGTTCAGGTTAATATAACCTTGGACTGTGACCATCTGATGTCAAAAACAGGAACCATGCAAAATGCAATATTGCTACTCATGAGATGATTGACTACATTAAACTATATTAAAGGGTCAAGGTGATGGATTGATCCTGAATTCTCTTTTATGAGTGAGCCCAGAGTGAGGTGGCTCACTGTTACACATATGCAAGTGGAACCAATTCATGAATTAGTTATGCATTCCCATTATAACCAAGACAATGAAAGATATTTACAATCAATATTCACCTTTTAAATTGGAAGGCAACATGTTCTGGAATCTTCAACTGGATCAGTTTGATTGCATTTGATGCATCAATCCATTATCAATCAGTTTCAGTACACTCACACACAAGGGGGAAGGTTATGTGATGCCTAATTCTGGCCTCAGTTTCATAATCAATCTGTCATTTATGGCCAGTTACCTTATCACTAGGCAACTTGTGCCTTTAAAATGGGAGATGGCAGTAAGTGTTCCAAGAACTATTGTGACATACACCTACAATGAAAAGTTTAGCTAACTTTAAAGAAAGATAAAAGGACACTAAACTTACAAGATCCCCTGCCCCATATACCTGTAGTCCATCAGTTTAGCAGTCTCATCTAAATAGTGGTTGTCATGAGATGTCACTTAAAACACAATACTGTACCCCAATAAGTGTTACAGACTATCAGAATTGACCAAAAACTTATCCCCCCCCCCCCTCCTTTTAACTAATGCTGCAAAAATACTGTGTAAACCACCATTCAACTTATACCTACAGCACCATAAAAAGAGGGAAGGACTTGTGGAATCTGAATCAAAATTTTTCGTCACAGTACTTGGCTAATATTAACACCAGACCACCACAGAAAAAATCTCCAAAATGGTTCCAACAACCTTTGGAGTTTGCACAAAAGAAGGATGGTTCTTTAAAACATTCATTCTACAAAAACCTCTATTCCCAACGCTAAAATAACCCAACAAACTGCTAGCCGGCCCAGAATTTACCGAAGTGCTTAAGGGACAGACTAGGTTACTCACTCTGGGTCAATAGATGATACCCCAATATGGTGTGAGTGATGTCAGGCTCATAAACCAAAATGCTAGTCAGACCCAAATCATGTCATTACAGGATACAAATTACAAACAACTTTTGCAATGAAAAGTGAGACTAATGTCAGGGACTGTGTGACCCAACCAAAATTGATCTAGTACTACAGAATTTGAGGCAGCAGCAAATAACTCCAGGAAGTGAAGGTGGTGCTGACAATGAGACAAAACTTCAGAGTGAACTGGTGGATTAAACTAATTTAAGGGGACTAACATCTGAAATCCAATACAGGGTATAGCCAACCCAAATGAAGGGTGACACATGATGTGGCACCAAGACTCATTACCTTTTTCAGTACATAAAATGATAACAGTTACTCAAAAAGTTCTTTCAAGAACTTAGTAGTGACACAAAAGCATAATCAATACATGAATTGGTCCCAGTCACCTACGTATATCAAGGGTCTCCCTAGATCTAACCCAATGAGTGGTTCAACATATACTAGTTGACTGTAAAAGGTCACAGTATTCAGTAAATTAAAGATACTGTATAAAAAAGATCAATATGCCAAAAAATCACTGCAATCTGAATTGAAATGAAAGTAATTGCATTCAGAAGAAAAGAGTCCGTATACAGACAGATATATAACAGAGAATGCCAATGCAGACCTTTCCCTTATGCAGGCTTCATTATTGTCATGGTGATCCAACAAAAAATCAATAAAATTGTTATCTTGTGTTAAAGAAGAGATCAGCAAAGCTGAGCTTGACTCATCACATGGTAATAAATTCTTTTTGAGTCATATCATAGTTACCCAATGTTTGACAAAACTGAACAAGGTTCTTTCTTGCACCATAAGAAAATGATACACTGAGTACAGTAGATACAAACCCAGTTACAAATTTATGAGTTTTAGATTCCAGTCACATAAGTTGGGGCAATGAGAGCTTTGTATCCTTTCCTTGGACTTGCTGGCTGTACAGGGTTGCTCACACCTGATGTATGGTTATAAAGGGTCAGATACTGTACCTGGTGAGCCAGACCACTGACTGGACTGCTGGCCAGATACTGTACATGGATGGAAACAGAACCTCCATAATGTCTCCCGACAACTTTTAAGTGGGATAATTATAAATAAAATGTATGTTCTTTTGCTACAAAAAAACAAAAACACTATGGTGCTCCTTTCAAAAGCCTTAATAATGTGTAAAAAGAGAAAGAAAACTACAGAGGAAAAGTGTTTGGGAGCTATGTACGATAATGGTTGACACTGCACTAAATTACAAAAAACAAGCAGCAGAAATTATCCACAAATAATTTCGATTCACAACAGAACTAAAGGCATCTGTAAAAAAAACCATTTCAATGCCCCATCTCCTCCAGAATTTGAATACTGGAATTACTTTTCAGTGTTTGCATGCCCCTTTTCTTGAACGAGTGCAAAATAATGAGGTTCCATTTCAATGAGTACCCGGTAATTTTAATATTCACTTGTAGGATAACTTTCATCAATCTTGTAATACTGTAAGACACCAAAAGCGATGGAATCTAGTAACAAGATAACCAGACTGTAATGACCATGTGAATTATATTAGTTTGTCCTATGTCAGTACAGTGGTCCCTCGGTTAACAAGATTTCAGTTAACGAGTTACCTTCCATAAGATTCTTAACTTCAGTTAACGAGCAATCCCTCGATTAACGAGTTTCTTAAGAGCCGACCTTAACATGTTTTCGCTTGCATTTGGCGGTCCACCAGCTGTAGTATTAGTCCACCAATACAGTAATCGGTTCTAGGGCTTATATTCCTTACCATTTTAATAAATACGTATCAAGAAGTTTATACTATTCAATAATTATAAAAGTTTAATGTTAATTTTTTTAGTCATTTTAACAATTATTGAACATAATTGAAGGTAAGAAAACTAGTTTTATGCACGCCATCCAGCATGTCAACACACCAAACAGGCGTCAGTCTCTCTGTCTTTTCAGTGGAGGTAACATCTTGCTTGAGACTCTCTTCAACTAAATGCTTTTTTTCTGTGTTTGCAAGCAAATTATTGGTCATTTTGAAATTTATTTTACATATTGACAATATATAATGCAGTGCAGTAGTGATTTAAAGAAAATAATCTTGAATTACACCAAGAGAGCTAAAATTTCATGGGTGAAATGGCGCCATGGGGTGACTTCTCTTCCACCCCAATGCCTTCTCTTCTCCCTTCTCCTCCACCCCCATTCTAATTCCCATCATCATTATCATCATCATCCAGGAGCCTTCTACATACACACCTCAAAGTAAGTTACTTTTCTACCTTTTTGTTGAATTTAGGCAATTTTCGGTGAGCTGGAGCCAATTACCCAAAAACCCATTGAAACAATGGTTTCGGTTAACGAGTTTTTCGGTTAATGAGCAACCTTCTAGTATGGATTGTGCTCGTTAACCGAGGGACCACTGTACAGTAGTTATCTGGTGCAAAAATGCATAAAAAATATTAACAGGGGGGGCAATTATATATATAAAAAAAACAGCAAAGCCCTAAGAGGGAGACAAACAATAGAAAATAAAAAAAAATTCTTTCCATAGTTCTAGCAGAACAGAGTTGCCTCTGAAAATTCCTAAAAACTGTTTGATAGCTTTCTTTAATCAAGCATAACATAATGCAAAACTTCAGTCACAAAAAAGCTATTAAACTGGAAACTGAAAAGCATCATATTAACAGCTGCTGGATGGCTTAAAAAATCTACTGCTGAATGATGTTTGGGGTGAGGAGCACAAACAAACACCAATAACATTGCAAAATATGAGTTAGACTTACACACGTCACTACTAGAGGCTTCAGGAGCTGCGGAATAGACAGAATAAACATTTGTTCAACGGAATTCAATTAGTTAATGAAGTATTTTTGGTTCCTGAGAGTAAAACAATGAAAAGCATCTTAGGGCAACCTACATTTCTACGTCTCATAGCCAGGTTCTACGCCGAGACTATGCATCATAAATCACTATATACAGTACAGTACAATAGACATATACCAGTTGTCAAGAATTTAAAGGGAATGCCAATACAGTATTAGGTGTCTTGCTTCATTCTACAGAACATCTCTGTTTGCCTGCTGCTAAATCTAAACTATGTAATCTTATATGATGTAATCAAGACATCCAGGATTTGACAACAGCACAAGGAAGCAAAGTTTGTTCTGAGTACTGTACAGTGTAGTGGTAGGGACAGGAAGGTGTTCAATACAGTACCTAGTTACGGTATATTGTCTAATGCCTCCACATAAGTAAAGCTGCAGCTAGGTGTAGTATACAGTCTCTCCTCGACTTACGACATATTCGACTTACGACAACCCGGACATACGACGGCCATGGTCGTATAAAATATTTTTCATATTACGTATTTTAAAGTCTCGACTTTAGTGATCGCGCTGTGTATGGACAAATTTTTTTTTAATTCCCTTTAAAATGGCTGGCAAGCGTAAAAGTGAGAGTTCTCGTGGTGCTGAGAAGAAAAGGAGACACCCATTTTCGAATTTCTATGTAGTATTATTTTCGCCTTTTCGACTTACGACCTGGTCGTCGGGATGGAACCCCGTCGTAAGTCAAGGAGAGACTGTATCTAAAACTGTGCATTGATAGAAACACAAAGACATAAATCAGTTGGATTACATGAGGGAACCCAAAAATACTCAGGGATATTTTACACTTCAATTGATCAGTGCTCAATTACAAGTGCATAAACACCGAGACCAAATTTATTATACAGTGGTCCCTCGGTTAACGAGCGCCTTGGTTAACGAGATTTCGGTTAACGATTTACCTTCCATAAGATTCTTAACTTCGGTTAACGACCAATCCCTCGATTAACGAGTTTTTTACGAGCCGACTTCAACATGTTTTCGCTTGCATTTGGCGGTCCACCAGCTGTAGTATTAGTCCGCCAATACAGTAATCGGTTTTAGGGCTTAAATTCCTTACTATTTTAGTAAATATCAAGAAGTTTATACTATTCAATAATTTTAAAAGTTTAATATTAACTTTTTTAGTCATTTTAACAATTATTGAACATAATTGAAGGTAAAGAAACTAGTTTCTGGCGTGCCATCCAGCCTGTTAACACACCAGGCAGGCGTTAGTCTCTCTCTGTTTTCAGTGGAGGTAACATCTTGCTTGAGACTCTCTTCAACTAAACGCTTTTTTTCTGTGTTTCCAAGCAAATTATTGGTCATTTTGAAATATATTTTACATATTGACAATATGTAATGCAGTGCAGTGTTGATTTTAAAGAAAATAATCTTGAATTACACCAAGAGAGCTAAAATTTTATGGGTGAAATGGCACCATGGGGTGACTTCTCTTCCACCCCAATGCCTTCTCTTCTTCCTTTTTCTCCACCCCATTCTAATTCCCATCATCATCATCATCCAGGAGCCTTCTACATACACACCTCAAAGTAAGTGTACTTTTCTACCTTTTTTGTTGAATTTAGGCAATTTTCGGTGAGCTGGAACCAATTACCCAAAAACCCATTGAAACAATGGTTTCGGTTAACGAGTTTTTCGGTTAACGAGCAACCTGTTGGAACGGATTGTGCTCGTTAACCGAGGGACCACTGTATTCTCGAAAGTATTAAGTAAACTCTATGTATCAGATTGTCCTTTCATATTAGATGACCGCTGAGCTTTTAGATTAAGTTTTACTGTTTTCTTCCAGGCCTTCCTTCCATCTCAGGTGAAATGAGGCTTTATCAGAGAGTGCATTTACAGTACAACAATGAAAGCTCTGCTGACATTCTCCATTGTGCAACATGTCTGCCCTCAATCAATTTTACATTTATATTTTATAGAATTACTGTTAAAAAATGAAAAAGTCCAACTCATCATGCAGCTACATCAGTACAGTACAGTACTGTACCCTTGCCTACACAACCAATCAATACTAACCCTTGATGACATCTAACAAGTCATAGGTACGTACCTCTGGTTATTTAATTATTATAATTAAGATGTATTCTAATGTAGCAACATAGTGTGAGACCACATGTGTGATGATTCAACATCACACTGCAAGCTTATGCAATATAATTCATATCCCTAGAAAACTTTAATTAAAATTTTATTTACCTGAATATACTTTCTTGTAAAGAAAAAAAAAAAAAAAACAATACAGTATCAGGTATACAGTGATCCCTCGGTTAACGAATTACCTTCCATAAGAATATTCAATTCAGTTAACGAATTCCTTACAAATTCTTCCCAACATGTTTTCGCTTGCTCACCAGCTGGAATATTAGTCCGCCAATACAGTAATCGGTTCTAGGGCTTAAATTCGTTCCCATTTGAGTAAATATCAAGAAGGTTGTACTATTCAATAATTTTAAAAGTTTTATATTAAATTTTTTAGTCATTTTAACAATTATTGAACATAATTGAAGTACAGGAAACTAGATTTTAGTGCGCCAAACAGCCACTCAACACACCAAGCTTGGCGTCAGTTTGTGTCTCTGCTCAGTGGAGGTAACATCTTGCTTGAGACTCTCTTGAACATAAACTATTTTTACGTTTTTACAGAACAATTATTGGTCATTCTGAAATTTATTTTACATATTGACAATATATAGTGCAGTGCAGTGTTGATTTAAAGAAAATAATCTTGAATTACACCTAGTGAACCTTAAATTTTATGGGTGAAATGGCGGCTAGAAGCATGGGGTGATTTCTCTTCCACCCCCACTTCCTTCTCTTCTCCCTTCTCCTCCACCCCCACTTCTAATTCCAATCATCATCATCAGCAACCAGGAGCCTTCTACATGCACACCTCAAAGTAAGTGTACTTTACTGCATTTATTTTTTATTTGTATGTAATTTTCGGTGAGCTGGAACCAATTACCCAAAATCCCATTGAAACAATGGTTTCGGTTAACAAAATTTTTGGTTAACGAACGACCTTCTGGAACGAATTGTGTTCGTTGACCGAAGGACCACTGTATACATGGTACAAGCACAGCAAGGAGGAATCTTAAAATGCACAAACAAGTACTGTAAATAATAAAATCCCTCTGTAAGGGCACAGTAATCAAATGAAAGGAGGATATAAGAGGGTTCAGCCCCCTTCCAAGGTAAGTTATTTTTTTACACTACTAAAGATGAGAGTATTCCTTCTAAGGAATTCTGAGAGATCAAATAAAAAACTAAAAACCTTCAAAATTCCAATTACAGTGATCCCTCGGTTAACGAAATTTCGGTTAACGAATTACCTTCCATAAGAATCTTCATTTTGGTTAACGAAATTCTTACAAATTCCTCCCAACATGTTTTCGCCTGCTCACCAGGTGTAGTATTAGTCCGCCAATACAGTAATCGGTTTTAGGGCTTAAATTCGTTACCATTTGAGTAAATATCAAAAAGGTTGTACTGTACTATTCAATAATCTTAAAAAGATTTATATTAAATTTTTTAGTCATTTTAACAATTATTCAACATAATTGAAGTACAGGGAACTAGTTTTTAGCGGGCCAAACAGCCACTCAACACACCAAGGTTGGCGTCAGTTTGTGTATCTGTTCAGTGGAGGGAACATTTTGTTTGAAACTCTCTTGAACATAAACTATTTTCCATTTTTACAGTCAAATTATTGGACATTTTGAAATATATTTTACATATTGATAATATATAGTGCAGTGCAGTGTTGATTTAAGAAAATATTCTTTATTTACAGCAATAAAACTTAAAATTTCAGTGTTGAAATTGAATCCAGGTAAAACAGGAAATAATAAAGAAACATGAACAAGGCATTAGAACAAATGTGCTTAGTAAAGACTATGGCATGTCGGCATCAACTGTGTCAACAATTTTTGCACAGAAAGACAAGATCAAGGAAGTGAAAGTGAGAGACAAATCTACCAGACTGTTTAAAGGTAGATCATTAATAGCAGAAACAGAGAGGTTACTTCTCATTTGGATTAGGAAAAAACAAATGAAAAGTGATTCAGTTTTAACTGAATTTATTTGTGAAAGAGCCAAGGAAATTTAGAGAACATTTAAAGGAAGATCAACCTGGTTCTTCTGGCACAGAGTTCGAAGATTATCGGGCCAGCAAGGGCTGGTTCGAAAAATTTAAGAAAAGAAGTGACATTTTCAGTGTTATTAGGCATGGTGAGGCTGCCAGTGTAGATAAAGAAGGAGCAGCAAAGTTTGTAATGGAGTTTAAGAAACTGGTGGATGAAGACAATTATCTTCCACAGCAAGTGTTCAATGTGGACAAAACTGGGCTGTTCTGGAAGAAAATGTCCAAAAGGACATTCATCACAAGAGATGAAGCATCTTTACCTGGGCATAAACCCATGAAAGACCGTCTCACTCTATTGCTTGGTGCCAATGCTTCAGGGGATTTCCGACTGAAGCTATCGCTTGTCTACCACTCTGAGAACCCCAGGGTGTTCAAGCAACAAAAAGTGGAAAGAGGACAGCTTGGAGTTTATTGGAAGTTCAACCGTAAGGCATGGGTGACAAGACAGCTCTTTAATGAATGGGCTGTTGAGGTGTTTTGCCCTTCTGAGAAGAGCTACCTAACCACCAATAAACTCCCTTTAAAGGGTCTTCTTCTTATGGATAATGCCCCTGGTCATGACCCTGAACTTGCCTGCACTTTGGAGGCTCAATTTGACTTTGTCAAAGTGTTGTTTTTGCCTCCCAACACTACATCAATCATGCAGCAAATGGACCAGAACGTGATCAGCAACTTCAAGAAGTTGTACATGAAGAAAATGTTCAGGTGTTATCAGGCAACTTCCACTGATCCTGAACTAACACTGGCACAGTTCTGGAAGACACAATTCAACATCCTGGAGGCTGTAAAATTTATTGCATCCTCATGGGGAGAAGTCTCCATTAGATCCCTCAATTCTGCATGGAAAGCACTGTGGCCATCAGCAGTCCATGATTTTGAGGGATTTGAGGAAGAAGCAGAGTTGGACAAGGAGATTGTGTCCATTGGTCAGTCATTGGGCCTCGAAGTGGAGGAGGATGATGTGGAAGAGCTTGTGATGTCTCATGAGCAGAACTTACTCCTGAAGACTTGCAGCAACTGGATGAGATGTTAGAGGTTAACAGTGGTGAAGAGGAAAGGGAAAGTGATGACCATATGTCTACTTCAGATTTGAAAGATGTTGTTCACTACTGGGAGAAGTTCAGGAAACTGGCTTCAAGGCACCCAGATGTGAAAACAATAGAACCTGTTTTGTGTGATGTTGAGGACAGAATGGTCTCCTTCAAAAATCAGTTAATGATGAGGAGAAATGCCCACAAAGAAAAATCGACAGTTTCTTCTCTAAGAGGCAGCGGGAGAATGATGCTACCACCTCAGTCTTCCACTTCAAGAAGGAGAGAGGATGTTCCTGCTGGAGAATCTGTCAGTCCAGAGGTTCCTGACATTTTCATGGAAGGTGACTCGCCTTTTCCAAGAAGCAGTAAAATGCTTCTCCTCCACCCTAACTTCCTTCTCTTCTCCCTTCTCCTCCTCTACCTCCCACTTCAAATTCACATCAGCATCATCATCCAGGAGCTTTCTACATACACACCTCAAAGTAAGTGTACTTTACTGCATGTTTTTTTTTACTTTATGTTATTTTAGGTGAGCTGGAACCAATTACCCAAAAACCTATTGAAACAATGGTTTTGGTTAACGAACAACATTCTCCAACGAATTGTGTTCGTTAACCGAGGGACCACTGTACAGTACTTTGAGGATAGTTTGCAAGATGAAATTTGTCACATCTCTTCCCTGCAGCCACCAAAAAGTTACATGGCATTTGCTGGTTCGAGCAATTCTAAAAACAATTTCTGCTAAGACTTTGAACCTGTTGCGGTCGCCTACTCACACATTACAGGGTTACATTCCCTTTCACATCAAATTTGAAGCAACGCTTGCTGATGATCTTCATGCTTCACTTTCCTTGCTGTACTGTCGAAACTTTTCAGTAAAATAACCTATTATCATCTTCATCATGCACCTCCATTAATAAATGTTCATCTTTCCTATTAATATTGTACTAACTCTAGTCATGTTTTCTAAGTCTCCACAACAACTTTCTTCCAAGCTCAGATACTTTCAACATTGAACCATGGATGGTGACTTAAATGAAACAAAACTGTTGATTGGCCAAAATAAGGGGTAAAATGAACACAGGGTTGTCAAGTCACCCACGAATGTCTTGTCGCCTCTCCTCCTGAACCGCGAACCCTGAGATTCAGATTTGAGAACCCGAAGCAGCAGTAGACAATGATGCATTAATCTGTCCAAAAAAGCTCCAGATTCACAAGTCTGAATCTCAGAGTTCGTGGCTCAGGAGGAGAAGTGACAGGACATTTGTGGGTGACTGTACAATATCTGGAACATTCCAATTAGAGTAAATTTTTTTTTTTATTCAAGCTAGGCTGCTGCTCCCTGCAGTCCATTAAAGAGGCTCTGAATAAATAAAAGCTCATCAACAACTGTTAATTTCCTAATACAGTGGATATTTTCATGTGGAGCATATTAATAAACCATTCCCTAACCATAAAAAGTATGTGTAAGAAATATTAAATAAACTGTGACTGTAACAAAGATATTAAATAAAATTATTTGATCTCTACTGTATTCCACTTAGCAAACTGACTGATTATGAAACTTAAATATCAATGTGTTACAGATTCTACCTATCAAGTTACGTCTAAAAATGAATTGGTCACACGCTGAGTACAAATCCATGATGATACTTACAATACTACATGATAGTCTATTTATAATCCCCAAAATTTTCAGTCTACTAAACCTGACAAATGAAATGGTCACTAAAAGTCAACAGTAGTGGTGAAGTGGCTGAAATACTGTATAGATGTAGAGAAAGTCAGTGCTTACGGTGGAAGGGTACATGGTCAGCTGAGACAGAACTCATGACAAAGAAGTACCATTATGAGATCTGTAAAAGATGTATCAGAGCTGCGAGATAAAATGTCTTTAAGGAACTATTGTGAAGATATCTTTACATTATATATAAACAAATAATTACATTTTTATTATAGAGCAAAGGTGAAGGGATGAGATACATGTACAATCATTGCCTAATGACTCTTTAACTTCCTAGTACAGTATTGTACAATATAAAACAGTAATGACTGCTTGTTTCATAGTCTACATTTCATCTTGAGGCAAAATTTATATACAGTGTATAGTATACATAACAAACATCCTTCACCCTCCTCCCTTCACAGATAAGCCAACTACTGTATGCTAGTTACACAAGTTCCCGACCAAACAAAAATGTTGCCTATGATAAAAGAACAAAGTGTTAAATGATAAAAGATTGTTATGCATACAGTACATATTTGTGTACAAATATTCTGACAGAACAGAATATGAACAAGTGGTATCTAACAGACCACTTTATAATAACACATTTAAGACGTTTACTCCAACTTGTAATACCTGCTCTTCTACACTTCACTAACCTGCTGCTGCTGCTGCGGCGACTGCTGCTGATGCTGCTGCAGCGGCTGCTGCGGCTGCGGCTGCTGCTGCTGCAGCCTGCTGCTCTAGTTGTTGCTTCTGTTGTTCCAAGCCTTGAATTTGCCCTGTTGCGTGTTGCACAAAAGCATTATGCTGCTGTTTATAACCCTGAAAGAAAAACAATGGTAACCATCTTAATGTTTCCTCTAAAAAGAATTTTAATTGAAATATCATAATTAGACATTTATATCTTCAAGTGCCAAACAATGGGTGTACGTATACCCAACTTTGATCACCTATGAAGTGAAGTGGTCTAGAAAAGGACCTGCTTTGAGAGGGGTGAGAGGGAACACAGCCAGATTGAGGCCCGGGACTGGAAATTTAGTACGGCCAATGACAGTCAAGGGATGAAAAATAGTCTGCTTAGGTGACAAGAATTTATCAAGAGAATGGAAAGAAAATGACTAATAGGTCATAATATTACTCACCTCAAAAGTAGCATCAATGTGCTGGTTAATTGTTGCCACAACTTGTGGAAATTCCTCTATAAGACCTTTCTCAAAAGCTGCCCAAGAATCCACAGGATTCTTCAGCTGCAGTAATACCACATCTTCTAAGTTAATTTTTGATTCCCACAGTGAGAGTAACTGCATGAATAGAGACAGTTCATGAAAACATTAATTGAAGTCTGGTAGTTTAAAAAATAGAAGTATTGCATTTTTTGTCCACTAATTTTGTAGTTCAGGGGAAATACTTGACTGTGTAATGAATTACAGCCCCCCCCACCCACACACACACAAAACACATACAAATAAATAATAATGGGAAAATCCTCTCAGATAATCAGAAAAAAAATTTAAAAATTTGAGTCTACCCTCAAGTCCGTGCTTTATTCCATGCTTTATTAAAGCACGAAATTGAGGGTAGACTCACATTTTTAATAATTTTTTTCTGATTATTTGTGAGAGTATTTTCCCATTATTATTTATTTGTATGTGTTTTGTGTATGTGTCTACACACACACACACATATATACAATATAGTATTACCCCGCTTTACACGGCGATTTCTCATTTACAAGTGGTTTCACTTTTGATTTCTCATTTACGCGTACCTTGCCTGCATCTACTCATACACGAGGTGAAGTATAATTTTTTTTTATTTTTTTTTTATTTAGCTCATAAAATTCATACAAATTACCCTGCCAGAATATAATTTACATTGCTGGAATTCTTACAATATGATGATCATTTTGAATATAAACATCATGGATTTTGCATTAGACGACCCTGACGCTAACAGGTATGAAATTTTCACTACCCAGCTGTTGCAGACTATGGAGCCCTACATCAAGGTTTATCACGACAACATAAACACCAGCCGTCAGCAAAGCATAACCGAGTTCTTCGCCGGCAACCCACCACAGCCAGCCCAAGCCAGTGATAGTGACAGAGACAGTGATGATGGCTTTGAGAGATTTGTCAGGGAGGCACTAGTAAGTGTGGATGACAGTGATGAAGACTCACCTGAGGGCCAGTAGCCTGCCCTCTGCCTCGGAACCAGCCTCCATTCCCCTACGCCGACCCATCTCTTCTACTAACATAAGTGTTAACCCCAACCTTGTTTTTTTCTAACCTAACCTTCAGTATATTATTCTCTTATTGATTGTTCCCTTCTATATTATGTGTGTGTGAATACCATCATAAAGTTAAGATGTTATTTTTAGTAAAACGTACGTATTGTGTCGGGAAAAAGTGGAGTTTGGGGGTTGGCCCGGTCTCTATTTCAATTAATCCCATATGTTATGTTGTTCACTTTACGCGTTTCTCACTTTACGCGGGCCGCCATGGGTTCAATTGACCGCGTAAAGTGAGGGTTCACTGTATACATTTCTTTGTACTCAAGTAAAAATGTACCCCCCCCTCCGTCCGCAAATGTTATTTGCGGCCATTTCGAGAACCTAACCCCTACTAATTTGGGGGGCCCTTGTATTATACCTCGATATATGATAACACAGATTTTTTGTTTTAAATAATTTACACCTTTATTTCTATTTTCTCATTTTCACAATATTTTTCAAAATTTACATTTATCATTTTGGGGGGTAAACCATGTAATTAACCAATACTGCACCTTTCAAATCCAATTCAATGTTTCAACAGAACTATCCACCAACTTCTTGCATTTTCCAATTTATTTACCCTATTTAAAGATGTTAGGAAAGCAGCCAGGATGTGTAATGAGCAACAACAATAGCTAGTTAAGGTAAGAAACCCCACATATGTTATGCATTTTAGATTTTTTTTTTGTGAAGATGTTTATCCCAATTTACTATGATGATCAATGGATAAAAACAATTCAATTTACAATGGATCAAAGTATGTCTATACAGTACAATATATGAAAGTAAATGTCTCTGTAACCATTTTAACATATTGCTCCTAGACCAAAACATTACCTTGTCCAGCTTAGACTTTTGGTCATCTGATGCAATTGTCATGGCATTGCAGAACATGGGTGCCAGGACCTTCTGTAGCGCCTCCTTCAGGTCGTCAGCATTTTTCCTCACACTAGAGGAAGAAAAAGAAACCCTCAAACTTCTGACATATTTGAGGAATAATGATTATAATATATATTAATAATATCTTTATATTGGTAAATCCAGTGGTGTCAAATTATTCCTTTACACACACACAAAAAAAATAAGGACTGGAAGACTAATGATGAAAGCCATGATTTCTGAGCCAAATACTGCACAAAAGTCTTTAAAGTTATCAAAATAATACTTTTGAAGTTATAATAAAATCTCAAATCTTATTCAGCCTCTGACTTCAGTGCTGAGAAACTTAAATATCCTGAAAATATATAAACTAAATAAAAGCTAAAGCACAAATTAACTCAAGGAGGCAGTACCTGAACAAATAGATTAATAACATGCAAAATGGCAGGTATATCAGGAAATGAGGGATTGGTCCTGAAATTCTAGTTTCTAGCAGAACCCACAGTCAGGCAGTTCTCATAATGGTGGTCGCCCTGTTTTGAGGGGTCGAGGTCATATGGTAGCAACAGTAATTTGTTCATTTATTTCAAACAATTCGGTGATCAAGTCCTCCCCGTCACACCTGCCACCTCCAAATACTGTCAAGGAGATCAAGTATAAAAGTTACCCCGCGAGGTGGGAAACACCACAAGGGAAGAGTTTGTCCAATCAGCACCAATCTTGGCACAGCCACAGTTCTCCCATTCAATTTCTGGTCTGTCTGCAAGTTTTATAATCAGTTCAAGCTTACTAATCACAAGTCCATGGGTGCTGGAGCTGTTGACTATACTGTATAGGTTCCACCAGAATCAATCCTTCATTTCAAGATATACTCCAAAGTCAAGCAGCTCTCTTAATCAGAAAAAGCAAAATAAGAGGGAGGAAATAGTGCTACCCAAGGCCCAAAGAATTAAACAGACAAGTGCCTCCTAGTGAGTAGACCCACTTTATATACAGATAGAGTACAGTCCTGGAGAATCATTTGAATTTTAATCTCTCCTATCATACAGAACTTCAGTGTAATCCTGAAGTACCTAGGAGAAGAGAAGGAAGGAGCTCAAGTGTCCCATTTATCAGTGGACCATGTAGTCTCTTGGACACAACTCTAGTTTGTCTCCAAACTTGTAAACCAGATATATACTGCACTAGTCAGTAAGAAAAAGAATATATTCACAAAAACAAGAAAAGGAAACCAAGACACCTCAGCTGAATTATCAACCAACTTATATCTAAACTAAGCCCATTAAACAACTAGAAAAACGAGAAACATTTAAAATTTTACACAAATATTTTAAAACTAAAAATAAGAGAATGTTATTTCATTCCTTCTGACACAAAAAGAGAAAATGAATTAGACAAAGTCTCAGACAAAGTATAAGCAAGAGAGGATAGCCAATTCATCAAGGCCAAAAAGAAGCTAATACAGTACTGTACTGTAAACCTAAATATTTATACAGTACTGTGGTTTTCTTAATACATGAAGTACTGTAGTCAGAAGAGGAGAGGGAAAAGATATCTTTACTTCTGATAGCTCCCTGTCCCGGTTCAGCTGGGAACTAAGTTCAAAGATGGAAGATGAGCCATAAAGAGAAGGAGAAGTCTTAGCACAATGAGTACTAGTTGGACAGACTCAACTCTACAGGCATCCTGCATCTCAGTACAACCTTCACACCTCATCTCCAAAAGAAAGGACTAAGCAACCACAGTCAAAAATACATTAAACAATCAACCTCACTGCCTCATTGGGGTAAAATCAACAACTTAGACAGCCTTAAGCAAGGCAACCATTATTACAAAAGCTGTCTGACTTAAAGGTATACTTGGAGCAACTGGTGTACACTCGTAAAATAATAATACAGTATGTGCAGTAAATCATGTGTTCAACAACAGTCTAATGAGCCAGTCATCTGTACAAAAGGAAATAAATTTATCATAGTACAATATATACACAAAAAGGATATAGTCACAAGAGTACAGTATATGTGAATCATTTTTCAGACAGGTACTATAACTACTGTACAGTACATATAGGTAATCAACATCAGTCACAATGCTAGCGCAGGACTTAAATCACTTGCAAATTATCTTGAGCTTAAGTATTTATAACATCAATTCATGAATGCTAAATAGAAAAAGCTCAGTCAATCTATGTAAATCAAACTAAATCATAAGTGACTTCAACATATTCTTTATAATTAAACAGTGCTTAAGACAGCTGACCCGAGACATTTCATATCAAATATGAAGGTTGCAACTTTTTAGTTTATAACAAGAATCATCATCAATTACAGGATTCTAAATTATGTAAATTAAAACTTTGCTGGATGAATTAAACAACGATGAACATATTAACAAAATATTACATAATACAGCATACCATTCAAATTCACGGGGTTAGGTTCTCAAAATGGCCGCGAATCGCAAAATCCGCGAATAATATTTGCTGACCAGGGAGGGAGGGGGAAGGGGGGTTACATTTTTACTTGTGTACAAAGAAATGTATATTCCCTTTATGTGGTTGCCCTTAGGACAATTATTTCTTTTACCTGTATAATAATAATAATAATAATAATAACAATAATAACTAACGGTATATTGAAAGAACATAGCAGCCGGAAGGCTGAAAATATACAGTTGCATAATTCGGGAATATATATACAGTGAGTTCTGCTATAACGCGTGTTTTGATAACGCGATTTATGAATTCGGAACAATATTTGTGTAACGCGAGCGCTTGTTTGCTATAACGCGATTTTTGCTTACTATTTCTCCAATTTTGTGGTATTAACTGTGAATATGGTAAAGAAGAATATCTCCAAAAAGCGTTCTGATGATAGAATTCCCGGTGATTATCGTAAAAGAAAGGATATAACACTTGAAGAGAAGCTCGATGTTATCAACCTCAAAATCACCCTTCTCCCCCATCAAGTTACATTCATATTTTTTCAAGGTAAAGTGTTAAATTTACTGTATGATTTCATTATTAGATATGAATGTAACATTTATTTAGACTGTGCTATCCTTTGTGTTAGGCTAACTACTAAATTTTTTCGATTTCGAGTAATCTGCACCTAACCCTATTTTCTCCATAAGCCCTGTTATTTCTATTACGCGATTTTCTATAACACGATATTTTACAAGAACACAATTATCGCGTTATAGCAGAACTACCTGTATATATATTTTTATGTGTGTGGGTCTACACACACATACATTCAATACAATATTGTACATACTGTACTGTATATACAATGAGAAAGAAATGTATAAAAAATATTGAGTCAACCCTCAAGTCCACTCCGTGCTTTATTAATGACAAAGAACGTACTGGACTTGAGGGGAGACTCAAAATTTTTTTCTGATTATTTGTGAGAGCACGCACGCACGCATGCACGCACACACACACACACACGTATAAAATACAGGTAAAGGAAATTACTGTCTCTAGAACGAATGGCTCCATTAACTTTAAACTACCCTTAGACATTCTTGGGTACATCCAAGGTGTCATCCGTGTATAATAGAGGACTGCAAATTATTCGGGCGTACTGTATGTAATATTTCGTCACTATTAAATCTACCAGCCATTGTAAAACTTCAATTCCTTAAGAATGCCCAACTCCACTTCCCTTCCCATACCTGATTAACTGGGTGTTTTTATGAAACAGTCATATCAGTAGAGTATCACATGAGAATTCACCTCCACTATCAGTTACAAATGCTAAACCAAAGAAACCTGGCATATAAAATCATGACAGACTGATCAAATAAGTAAGAGTTGTTGTTGGTAGGTCTCTACGAAGACTCATTCAATCCTGCTAGCTAGATCAAAATGGGGAAGTACTGCAACTCTGTTGAAACAGAATCAAGGTTACTATTTCTTCAGAAACAATTACTCTAAATACCTCTAAATTCTCCTGTAACAGATGCCCTACATAAAACTACAAACCATTTATATATCATAGATCTTGAGTCACACCCAAACAACTTTACCACTGAACTTTCTTCAAGGAAATGCTAATAACCGTAAGTAACAATGTCTACGAAATCAAATTCATACATAACCATAATATTACTTCCTTTGTAATAATAATAGAAAAAAAGATGAATTATCTCAATTTTCTTAATCAGTTAAATAATGAATCAATAAACATTCAAGGGCATTTCCAAGCCTTTAATTATAGCTTTTACACTGGTAAGGCAGCAATGCTAAGAAAATAGGAGCCTACACAAGCTGAGTTGCTGCCTCCTGGTTCTCTCCTCTCTTCCTTGCACTGCTGATTATAGAGAAGACATTACAATCAGGGACATTAACATGTAGTTAACTCGCATAAAATTTTTCAGAACTGACCTGTTGTGTGTTATCTAAATTACTATGAAACATTCTGTACAAGAATGAAAACATCTACAAAGATTGAACCTACAGTAATTATAATCAAATTCATCTAGGAAGAATGAAGGATTATTCCTTGAAATTCCACTTCACTGCCAAGTCAGGACAAAGACCTATGTTGACACCTGGTGCTAATTAAACTATTAGTTCAGCTTTCACATCACAAACCTGGCCCTCAGAGATGGCTGAGAGCTTTGTACAATACTATAGCAGCTTGTGCAATCACACCTTCCTTTGTCTATCAGAAGCAAAATTAGATTTTTGCCACCATGCTTCACTGTAGCTGAACTCTGTGAAATTTTCCAAGGAGGGTTGGAGGGTTCCCACTCTACCTTTCCTGACTTGGCCATAAAATGGAATTTCTAGGATCAATTCTTGATTTATAGCCTGGCATTAGTCTGAGAAGACTTCTGTACATTATTTAAATCCAGGTAGATAGAGAAGGTACAAAACTCAAATCATTCTGAGTGTCTGCATCTTGTAAGGGAGGTAACTAAGGGCTACAATAAGAAATAACAGTTACCTAACATACTAAGTACAGTACAGTACTGTACTTCAAAACTGTCCTGCTGTATCACTTGGTCCAGGCAGCAACACCCCACAGAGGACTGGGCTCCTATTTTGAAATATCTTTGAAGTACATTCCCCCCCAAGAAGGTTAACGAGTCTGTGAAACCTAAGATTATGTTCTCTAAGTGTAGCCCAGCTGCTTGAGTCTAACTGACTTAATTATTTGAAAATGTGAACATTGGAAGCTACATGTTTGGACCTATTACAGTATTAACAGGTGTCTGTTGATGCAATTGCTTTGTAATTTTAACATGTCTGTTGATGCAATTGCTTTGTAATTCTAACATAGTCAATAACCAATAAACCAGACACAGCAAATCAGGAGAGTCATCAGCCATCCTTCATGACTAAAAGTTAAAATAATTTTCCTAATACTATGAGTCTCAGTCTTGAAAAAGAACTTCAGACTTAGCCTTAGTTCACCCATGTGAGACAGTGAGAGAGAAAGACAGAATTCAAAGAACACAAAACTAGATCCTCTTCAAAGAGCATGACTGTCCAAACCCAATGAAGATGATGCCAGAGTTAACCAGATAAGCATTTTCATGGCTCTAAAGACCAAGTGATGGACACTGACCTTGATAGTCATTTCAAAATGGATGATCTAGAAAGAAAAGTCTTTAAATAACCTTAGAAGTCATATATACATGGTATACAGTGATCCCTCGGTTAATGAGCGCCTCGGTTAACGAGATTTCGGTTAACGATTTACCTTCCATAAGATTCTTACTTCGGTTAACGAGCAATCCTTCGATTAACGAGTTTTTTACAAGCCGACCTCAACATGTTTCGCTTGCATTTGGCGGTCCACCAACTGTAGTATTAGTCCGCCAATACAGTAATCAGTTTTAGGGCTTAAATTCCTTACTATTTTAGTAAATATCAAGTAATTTATTCTATTCAATAATTTTAAAAGTTTAAAATTAAATTTTTTTAGTTATTTTAACAATTATTAAACATAATTGAAGGTAAGGAAACTAGTTTCTGGCGCGCCATCCAGCCTGTTAACACACAAACAGGCGTTAGTCTCTCTCTCTTTTCAGTGGAGGTAACATATTGCTTGAGACTCTCTTCAACTAAACGCTTTTTTTCTGTGTTTCCAAGCAAATTATTGGTAATTTTGAAATTTATTTTACATATTGACAATATATAATGCAGTGCAGTGTTGATTTAAAGAAAATAATTTGAAATACACCAAGAGAACTAAAATATTATGGGTGAAATGGTGCCATGGGGTGACTTCTCTTCCACCCCAATGCCTTCTCTTCTCCCATCTCCTCCAGCCCCATTCTAATTCCCATCATCGTCATCATCCAGGAGCCTTCTACATACACACCTCAAAGTAAATGTACTTTTCTACCTTTTTTGTTGAATTTAGGCAATTTTCGGTGAGCTGGAACCAATAACCCATTGAAACAATGGTTTCGGTTAACGAGTTTTTCGGTTAACGAGCAACCTGTTGGAACAGATTGTGCTCGTTAACCGAGGGACCACTGTATGTATCAGGGGTAAACCACATTTGGAACTATATTGTGGAAGATTAAACCATAACAGACACATCGTTTACAGCAGCAAGAATTACTGAATAATAAAGAGTGAAGGGGAAATGTTTATGTGTATTTGCTTGTTCCTGGCCATCCTGTATATAGATGGATTTTTTTTAATAAAATGAGAAAAAAACAAGGATTAATCCTTAAATCCCATAGCACATTAAATCTCATCATAATGCTTGCCTTGTTTGGGGTTCTACATTGTCTGATTATATGACAGCAGGACAGTGTAAATCCACATTACATACAATAATGAGCCCCTCCACACATTCATTGACACTAAATGTGGGAAGTCAAAAGCAATGGTTGCCCTCAGGAGACAAGAGGTACTTTAGAGTCATGCCTGCCAATTCAACACAGATATCATAACAAAGTCACTAATCCACCATCTTTCCAGGTAATCTGCCAGTTCAAAAGTTTAGTTCTGGTTAACTAATCACAAACGCAAGGGAAGAGGGTGAGTATCCAGTCTACCTAGCTATTGTCCTGGCTTCACTAGAAAAAGAAGATTTTAGGATCAATCCATCCTTTCTTAGATATGCCCTACTGCCAGGCATATCACTGTCTAAAATAGCTTGATAAGAGGGAGGAGGTTATGCTACAAAGGCTTCAAGGATTAAGCAGACATGCATCCCCTAAGATTTAACCTATAACTGTATTGTAATGTTTACACACACACACCAATCAACCAACACACACATTAAGACAAACTATGACGATCATAATCAATCACTGCACTTACCAATGATGGAGAACATCGTTCATCAGGTATATGATATGTAGCTTGTGATTAAATGGACCGCTGTTGGCTGTAGCTCTGAAACCAAAACATATTGTTTTTACATATGGAGTGATCAAAGAAAATTTTCTCCTTAACACAAAATCAAATCTGATTCCTAATGATTATCACTACTGTATTCTACCTCCTTTCGATAGCGATGGTTATGGCAAAAATGGTAAGAGCCATATGAGATATTTGCTCACAATATTTGTAAGAACTTTACTGATCAAGCTGCCTTGCTAATCACCTAATATTTATGGATTAGACCATGACATCCTACATACAGTCTCCCACTACGGACACCTCACATGAGAAGTGACTGGCTCAATGCTCAACACGGTAAACAAAAGCTTCACCAACCCCAACAAGCCACAAGGAGTCTCATCTCAAGTTGGAAGTCCAGAGCACCAGAGACCATGTTATAAATAATAATAATAATAATAGTTAACGATTTATTGAAAAGCATAGCAGTAGGTAGTAGGCAGCTACCAAACAGGGAGGAACTGCAGCCTGGGAAGATATTGGAAGCATAATGTGTTGTCTAATGGTAGACCCTGCTGCCATATGGCATCACAAAAATTGTGACCAAGTCCCAGGTTGCTGATCTGACTTTCTGCCTCATTTACACACAATTGCAGGGTCTCAATCATTTCTCATACTATTGACAACACAACATACATACAGTCAGTCCTAGACTTACGACGGGGTTAGAGACCGACAACCAGGTCGTAAGTCGAAAATAATACATAGAAAATCTAAAATGGGTGTCTTTTTCTTCTCAGCATCACGAGAACTCTCACTTTTATGCTTGCCAGCCATTTTAAAGATAATTACAAACGAAATTTTTGTCAGTACATAGTGCGAACACTAACGTCGGGACTCGAAAATATGTAATTTGAAAAATATTTTATACAAATGCAGCGGTCGTATGACTGAGTGGTCGTAAGTCAAGGAGTACCTGTGTATTGTTTCTCACTTTTGATCTTTTTTTCATTTCTGTATTTATGGTTCTTTATTATTATTATTACTACACATTTATTATTTTATTTTGTATTCTAAATTTTATTTACTATGAATTATTATTATTATTACATTTTCGCTCCCCTGTGCCCGGGTAGGTTAATCCCTGTACAAAAAAGAAAAAGAAAAAAGTCGGAAGGCTTTTCATATACAGTAGTTACATAATTGGGAAATGAGTCACTTCATTGACTAATAACATACAAGTAACATAAGTGATACAAATATGATATATAACAACTAAGTGGGAAGAAGGTTATACAACAGAGCATTTAAACACAGTGACAGTGCAAAAGGTAAGATTGAGATTAACTGGGAGTGAATACACTGGTTGATTACTAGTTGTTGATAATTTTTACAGTGGTTGGGACTGGGCTGTTCTTGTAGCGATCAGTACATGCTCATATGGGCTGGATGAGGTTGTGGTGTCAAATAGCAATTAGTGGACGAGGGATCTCGGGTGGAAGTAAGAGCTGGTGTCAAGGATGGTGCAGAAACTTCTCACCAAATATGAAGATGAGATCGTGGTGATAATCAGAGAGAACTGAGAGGGTCAGCGTGTTAAGCGCTTCTTGATATGTGGAGTAGGAGTGGGAGAGAATAATCTTGCATGCCCTCTTTTTCACTTTTCTAGGTGTTTACGTTGTGTGGCATTTAGGGAGGAGGACCGGGCAGGGGAGGGATAGGTGAGCTCGGGAAGCATGAATGTTGAGTAAACACTGAGGAGCTCGGGTGCAGAAACTCCAAGGGACTCAAGTGGACGAAGGAGGTGGAGACGAAGAATGGAGGATTTGACAACTGTACTGACGTGTGTTTTCCAATTTAGTTTGTTATCTATAGTGAGGTCGGGGAGCTTAGTAGAGTCCACAACCTGGCGTGTGTTGGGGCCCAAAGTAATGAAGGGAGGTGAGACAAGGTTGGAGGAGAGGTTGATGTGCATAACCGTGGTCTTGGTATGGTTGATGGTGACGTGGGTGTTGGTGGCCCAATTTTGGACTGTTCAATAAATCCTGAAGGGCGGTATAGTCGGGAGCAGAATTGTTGACGCTGATCCCAATGGTGGAGTCGTCGACATATTTCCAGCGAGCAGGGATTTCTCTTAGAGCATCATTGATGAGCATAAGGAAGCAGAGTGGTCCCATCTTGGTGCCTTGGGGGACGCCACAGGTGAGTGACTGAAAGGTGGAGACAGCCCCTCGGAAGCATACAGCTTGGCGTCGGTCACTGAGGAAGTCTGTAAGCCATGGTATAAGACTTCTCCGAAGCCCGAGGTCAATAGCTTTGTTGATGATTATATTGTGGTCGACTAGGTCGAACGCTTTAGTGAAATCAATGAAAGCGACAGCTACAGACGTTTTTCGTTTCTCGAGATGGCGGTATATGTAATCGAGAAAGCTGACAAGACAGTGAGTGGTGGAGGAAGTTTTCATATTGCCAAATTGCTGAGGGTCTACGACTCCAGCAATATCAGCATAAGCCCAGTCGAACACAAAACTTTCACAGATTAGGCTGGGTATTGGGGTGATTGCAATAGGTCGTAGCTGATTTAAGGATTGTGGGCTGGTTGACTTGGGCACTGGTGATACATAAGAGGTCTTCCAGTCAGCTGGGCATCTGGCTTGACTGAGAGAAGCATTGATGATGGAGCATAGGGGTTTAGCAAGCTCCGGGGAGAACTCCTTGAAGAGTTTCATTGGTAAGTCAGTGGGGGTGGTAGAGCGTTTTAATTTTAGTTTGTCCAGGCGTTTTGCTACTTCAAATTCTTCTACTAAGTCAGTGGGAAGGGGGGCTGGTAGGTAAGCAGGGAGAGTGGTTGTGTCAAGCCGGGGGAGCGTCTGGCATATAGTAGCGAAATGGTTATTTGTTGTTGTGGGTGGACAGAAGTGTTTATCAGCAGTGGACATAACTTCAATGGCAGCACTTTGAGGGCCACTGGCACTGGTAGACATCTGTTAATATTTGTCTAGTCGTAAACACCGCGAACCGCCGACACAGTACCCACAGTACCACAGTATATGTGGTCTTTGTCACTGGCACTTTGAAGATGACCGACAAAGTGCCCATGGTCTGGCATTACACTGCTGTGAATCACACTTGTTTTTGTGTTTTTCCTTGGAATACACCATTGGATCACTGTTTGATAACCAATCATTGTACTGATCATTTGAATGATTTGCTGATAGATCCCGGTGTAGTGAGGTTGGTAGGGAGTTGGGATGTAGCAGAGGGAGGGGCGGGGCCAAACAGACTTGGCCTGGCTGCCAATCAGGAGCGCCTACAGGACACATCTTGTCTCACTGAGGGCTGACTGTGTATGTGTATGTCATGAGGCCAACCCCCCAAATTCCACTTTTGTGACACTACTGGGCTGTATGCACATCTTCATGCCAAATTTCAGCTCTCTCTTTAAAACTATACTGTAGCTGTCCAAAGTGTATATTCACACAAAGACTGTGCTATATACTGTACCATATGGAGAAAGCAACTCTTCTCTTACATATTGTAGATTACTTCACTACATAAGGCTGCAATTACTGCTGGAGTCATCATTTGTGTCAATCATTGGAAGAGGTTTTAGATTATGTGGCATTAGTAATTTTAATATAATTATTGTTATTTTATTAGAGGTTGCTCAAGAGTTAAATACTGTACAGGTAGTCCCCGACTTACGACTGCTTGGACTTACGACCGTCGGGACTTACGACCGCCGCAGTTGTGACCATTTTTTTTTCAAATGACGCATGCATTTTCTATACCGAAACGTTTCCAGTTAATGTAGTCTCCATGTATAATTAGAAAATTATGGGGGCCCCATGTGCATTCAGCTGACTACAATAAAGGTAAGTGCTCAGTCACACTGTATCCATTCCTCATTATTTATTACTTTCACTGTACTGTATCCATTCCTCATTATTTATTACTTTTACTGTACTGTATTTCATTGTAGATTTTTTATTTAATTTTTTTATCTATGTAGGACTTGCGACCATTCGGACTTACGACCTGGATTTGAGTCCCTAATCCCACCGTAAGTCGGGGAGCACCTGTATTGGTTTTGCTTTTACGTACAAATAAACTAGTGCACAGTACATGTACTGTACTACATATATATTTACAAGTTTTAAATTATTCAAATTTTTCTTGCAACTGTAAGGGGACTACAGAGTAAATACTGAACTGCCAATGAAAAATATAAATCACTGGACTCACGACTAATTTCCTTAAATTCCCAAAATTAGTTCCAGCACTGCACAATAAAATCAATAATAATACAAAGCAGAAAATACTCACTTCCACAGCAGGTATCTTGAGAGCCACTGATTCTTTGAAGCAGACTGAGCATTGGTGAAGATCCAGTGTTTGCCATTTGATATGGAATCCTTAGTACATGACTCGGTGATGGGACCGAGTAGCTCGTCCAACTCGTGAATGGAAAAGCCAAGCTCGGCTGCTTCGTTGCGCAACACTTCACCTCTGGCTACATAGATACCCTCTCTTACTTGGCCATCCTTCTGTTGCTCCAGAACCTGAAGCAAATGTGACAAGAGAGTACAGATGAGAATTATACATTTCAAAGACTGGACACACCAAAAGAAATAATATTAATGTTAAGAGTAACTTTGTCATTGGTAGTTGGTAGTCAAGTACCCTGTAAATCACACAGCCAGACAACATCATGCTGTCTATGAATCTTTTTAAATATATTGTTACGAACCCCTCCACCCAGCACTACGAACCACGCCATCTATTGTCCTGATCTACCTACCCAGCACCACGAGCAACGCCATCTAGGGACGAGACACGAGTATGACTCGTCTTAGTTACCACTCCGAGGTTTCCCTTCTCCCTATCCTGGTTGTTGCGTCACCTCCTCAAAGTCTTCTTTGTCAGCTCCAATTCGAGGAAAGAGCACTTGGCTCTGGGAAGTGACCACAGGATCATCTATCCTCTAAACCTACGTGCAGTGACTACCTACCGTCTTCTACAATACTCAACCTTACTCGTCAGCCATCTCAGCTCCTCACTTAAGTACTTGTATTTTGTATTAACTCCCCCACGTCCACTTGCTTCAAGATTGTTTATGTTGTATTAATATGTATATACTGTTAATGTTTAGGTTAAGTTTGGTTAAGGGTAATTTATAAGCTGAATATTTTGTTAAGGGATTTATGGTACTCTATTATATACAACGAAAACTCGCATCCTTTGTCTACCCTTTTATAGTCCGATTGTCTTTGTTTTTTTTATTGTTGTTACCTGTTGGGATCTGGGTAGACGTATAACTATATTCTAAATCCCCAACTCGTAACAATATATAAAAAAAATTTTCATTCACATAACTTTAGTAATACAGGTTGTACCTCTCTAGTCCGGCAACCTCGGGACCTGACCGGTGCCGGACCATGGAAATTGCCGGACCATGGAAATTCACCCTTTTCCTGGATAGATAGTGACTTGTGCTTATGTGTGGAAGCACTAGCACCACTTTATCTGCATCATGGTCTCTTTGAAGACATATTGAAGGATTAAATGTCGTATAGTAGCTTCTCAAATTTTGCGAGTTTTTAATTCTACTTATTTTATTGGAACACACACACAAAAAAATAAAATAAAAATTTTGACGGCAGAAACTTGAATTTCGACAGGTTTGAACGGCCCGCCAACGTGCAGACGACGTGCATAATCGTGTAAACAGCGTCATTTCTCTTATGTACAAAAGATTCATTATTGTTTATTACTGAATGTCTTTTTTATTGAATTAATGTTTATGTGTACAAAATGAGCAATACAATTCATTAATAATACGTAGAATATTAAAACAAACGAGGAAATGACACAGCATTGTTTTCGTTGATTACAAAACCAGTGACTGACTGGTTCTACATATAAATCTGATTAAAATAAGACCTTGGTTGTAGCTGTAGTAAAATTAATAAGGTTGTTTTAAGAAATGTTATTTAATGTTAATAAATGGAACAATAGAAGTAGCTAACGATAATGGTAAAGAAAAAAGAGAGATCGCATATGTAAGTGCGCACACGTGGAAACATATCGTCATTACTTGACATAAGAATATGAAAGCAACACTTATTTACTGTTCATATATATTTTAATTAATGTTTCTGAATTTGTTTTTATTGAATTAATGTTTGTGTGTGCAAAATTAACAATACAATTTATTAATAACACGTGGAATATTAAAACACACGATGAGACGAGACGGCTGCCGGCATTGTTTATGTTAAAGCTTACAAAACCAGTGACTGATTGGTTCTACATATAAAACTGAAGAAAATAATACCCTGATTGTGGCTGTAGTAAAATTAATGTAAAAAAATTAATATGGTTGTTTGAAGTGCCTGTAATGTTATTTAATGTTAATAAATGGAACAATATAAGTAGCTAACCATTAATGGTAAAAAAAAAAAAAGTGAGACAGGCTACAGGCACTGGACTAAGGAGAACAAGGTCACCATCAACCACACCAAAACCGTAGTCATGCACATCAATACTGCCACCACTCCAGTGCAAGCCCCAGCAGTCACAGTGGGTGCCCATCCTCTCCAGCTGGTGCAGTCTGCCAAACTCCTGGGTGTAACTATAGACAACAAACTTGACTGGAAGGCCCATGTAAATAACACAGTCAAGGCAGCCTCGTACCGTCTCTCCATGCTACGAAGACTTAGGTCACTTGGGACAACCACGCCAGAGCTGAGGACCATCTACAATGCCTTTATTCTCCCGAAACTAACGTATGCGTCACCAGCCTGGTCGTCTTCTCTCAACTCCACCCAACAACGTCAGCTAGAGAAGGTACAGAAAAGGGCCTGCAAAATCATGCTCGGCGCAGAATACTCCTGCTACACCAACGCTCTCTCCACCCTGGAAATGCCATCCCTCAGTGACCTCCACCACCAAGCACTGGAAAGGTTTGGCCGTGGACTACTGCACCACCCTCGCCATCACCACCTCTTGCCACCTGCAGCCCCCCACCCAACTCGCGCAGTCCGCCACTACAACAAAATTCAGGCCTTAAGAGCCCGCACCGATAGATCTAAGAACAGCACCATCCCATCTATTGTTAAAATGATAAACAACTCCTGATTTATGTACTGTACAGCCATGTAAATGTATTCAATGCATATTATATTATTATGTCTAAATCAAATGTAAGTCTGTATATTTTCAGCCACCGGCAGCAATTCTATTTATAAACCGTTTATTATTATTACATGTGAAAACATATCGTCATTACATAATAATATGAAAGCAACACTTATTTACTGCTCATATATATATATTGAAGGGTTAAATGTTGAACTCTGTATAGACAAGCAGAGAGAGAGAGAGAGAGAGAGAGAGAGAGAGAGAGAGAGCAGCCGAACTGCCGGATGTAAACAAACCTAAATTTCCCGCGGCTTTCTTGTTGTTTTTTATGGGGATTAGCCCACTCGGGCATAGGTCACTGACCCACATTGGGGCCTGAGGGGCAAAAATTTAATCATCCTGTAATAATAATAATAATAATAATTCAGAAAAAAAAAGCTGCCTATCTACCTATTGGACAAACTAAAATCGTTCCAGACCATGGGAGTTTCCGGACCACAGAATGCCGGACTAGAGAGGTACAACCTGTAGCTGTACTTTCAATGTAGAGTACCCCCTTGAATGAAAGATCTCAATAACAGTAGGCCTATACTGTAATAATACGTAGACCCATTTTACTTTCCTGACCAAATAAACACAGTACAGTACTTGCCTTAAGACATAATTATTGACAGAAGATAATAAAACACACTCACCAGCTGTTGTGCTGCCAGATTCTGTTCACTTTGGTGAATTTGTTCCTGTAGTTGTTGTTGCTGGCTAGTAATGGACTCCATACTCACACTGGGGGGAGGTGGAGGTGGGGGCTGAGCATAACCTGGGGTGCTAGTGGTAAAAGCACCTGGTTCCCCAGCCTAGGAAGAGAAAATTCATTATATTAGTTTAATAACTCTATTTACATAAGAACATAAGAACATAAGAAAGTGGGATACTGCAGGAGGCCGACTGGCCCATACAGGGCAGATCCCTTTCACACCCATCCCAGCACTTCCATGTGCCTATCCAACTTCGTCTTGAAGCTCCCTAGCGTCCCCGATCCTACTATAGCACTCGGTAGCCTATTCCACATATCCACAACTCTATTACCAAACCAGTGCTTGCCTATATCCTTTCTGAATCGGAATTTATCTAATTTAAAGCCATTTGTTCTAGTTATTTCGTTATTACTGAGCTTCAGAACATCTTCCATTTTACCCTTGTTAATCCCACTTACCCACTTGAACACCTCTATCATATCTCCCCTAACTCTACGCCTCTCTAATGAATGCAAGCCTAAGCTTTTCAGTCTTTCTTCATATGGAAGGTTTCTAATATTATGGATCATTTTTGTCATTCTTCTTTGTACTCTCTCCAAAGAATCTATGTCCATTCTATAATAAGGACACCAGAATTGAACCGCATAATCCATGTGTGGCCTCACTAATGCTAGGTAAAGTTTCAAGATAACGTCAGCAGTTCTGTTACTCACACTCCTAGATATGAACCCAAGAATCCTGTTTGCCTTGTTGCGAACGCTAATACATTGTTTTCTAGGTTTCAAGTCGTTGCTAACAAATACACCTAGATCTTTTTCACAATCTGAGTTTTCTATTTCCGTGTTACCTAGTTTATACTTAACGTTTGTATTCGTCTTCCCTATCTGTAGTACCTTGCATTTATCAGTATTAAAATTCATTTGCCAGTCTACTGACCCCTCATGTAAGGTATCTAGATCTCTTTGAAGGTGTTCAAAGTCACTGTCTGAATTTATCACTCTCCCCATTTTGGTATCATCTGCAAATTTACTAATCCTACTAGTTAAACCTAAATCAAGATCATTAATGAATATAACAAACAGCAGAGGGCCTAATACAGATCCCTTGGGAACTCCGCTTTTGACCGCACCCCAGTCTGACTTAAATCCATTTATGCTGACTCTTTGTTTCCTACCAGTTAACCATGACCTAATCCATTTTAATAATGATCCACCTATTCCATGTGCTTCTACCTACTTTATCAATCTCTCATGAGGGACTCTATCGAATGCTTTACTGAAATCTAAATAAATTATATCATATGACTCATCATTATCTACCGCTTCATATACTTCTGAGAAAAAGCTAAGCAAATTTGTGAGACATTGTAAAGATAAGCCCTGTAACACCATACTGCTCACTGCTAATTGTGGCACACATACAACATGGTAGTTTGCCAGGAGTTGAACATAAAATAAGTCTGGTCTCCATGCCTGTACAGTACAATACTACATTCACTGTAGATTAATTACACATTAAAACACCACATTCACAAGATACTAATACTGCATGTAGTACATGACACCAGTAAGGATGGATGCAAGTGTTGTGGCTGGTGGCAGATTACTGCATACCATACTTAATGACCATACTCTACTCACTGAAGCTGTAGTGCAAAATCAAAATAAATAATGTACAGTACCTGATGGAATTAATATTGTACACTCACTTGTATGGACATGACAATATAATACCTCGGATGTATAATTACCAAATGTTTCCTGGCCACCATTGTTAAGTATTATATGGCAATGGCCCCCACTACCAGATCAAGTAGTGTGACTGGCAGCTTAGTAACAATGAATAAAGGTTTCCTTTGAGATTTGTTCAAACTCTTGGGGTGTAATCTAATACCACAGGGAAGGAATTAGCAGACTACTCTCCATTCATGTGATGATACTCACTGTGCATGATATTCTTACATTTCCAAAACCCAGTACAGTAAAAGGACTAAACTAATAGAAGAGAGAGCACCAGAGAGAGATAAGTTGGATTGAGGGTTATACTCATATATCCCTGTATCTTAATTGTTGTGTTTAAAATCCAGAATAAAATATAAATATATATGTTATATAATCTATGTTCCTACCAACAAAAGGGATTTCTTCTACTTCTGTTTATTTACCTGTGGAGCTGTGTAGGTAGCATCTCCAGGTGGAGGTGGAGGAAAAGACTGAGAAGAATGAACAAATGGAGGTTCTGCCGTGCTGGTTGGAACAAAGGAGGTGGTGGTGACATAATTTGAATCACCAGGAGGAAATGTAGTAGGTGGTTCACTTGATGGGGGTGGCGGTGCATACTGTCCCTGGTTAAAGCCTCCAGAGGTAACAGTTGGCTGTGGAAATTGTGGTAAATCTGGCTCAGGGTACGCGGAAGTGGGCGGGTAACCATAAGCAGGTGGGTAGCTTTGGCCAGGAAAAGCACCACCTGCACCTCCACCTGGGAAACCTCCTTGTGGTGGAGGTGGAGGCTGGTGTAGTGTTGGCTGTTGTGATGGTTGTGACTGCTGTTGTTGCTGCTGCTGCTGTTCACGAGCTTGACGATGTTTCAGTACTAAAATGAAAATTTAAGAAAAGTTAAAAAAAAAAAAAATTCATAAACAACAAACAATGAATTTTGGCAGCTCTTACAGGAACATATTTCTTATTACTGACTATGAAGTTTCCATAAACTGTGTAGATCACAACTTAAAAATAAAAATGGTTACAGAGAATTGACAATGACAGTACTGTAGTTTCATAATATAAAAAAAATATTGGCAGAAAAGACAGAAAATTTAAGAAAGGAAGACAAGTAAATGTGTACAGTATGTGGAGTCCTACAATGATCAGTAAATTTATTCATGGGTGGTGAGAAGATGAGTGCCAGGCACAGTTGTACAAAGTGAAGTGCACTGGATGGGGCAGTGTAACATGTCCTCATAAACACATGATAATGTATTAATTATGTACAGTATATATTCATAATGACAAAGAATGCTCGGCCTGCAATAAGTGAGCCTCTCCAAATAAAAAGTTTTTGTTTCAAGTTCCACAAGTAAAAATGTATAATTTACAGTATATTGAGTAATACTGTATTATATCCAGTACAAGGGTCTATATAAACCATAAGCTTACCTGCTCAGCTGCAAACACATGTACAGTACTTAACATGTAAATAACCATGTTCTGATGTAGCCCCAGAATTATCTATCTGGGTTACATTTCAACCAGTAGCCAGTTTCTACTGTCAATAAGAAACAAGCACAATTTACTCACTTGCTTGTTCAGTTGTAACTTTGTACTGGTAGTAATTGAAGTATTCTCCACCAAACAAAAAGCTAAACTTGGGGTTTTCCTTCTGTTTGGTTTTGGTCATCTGCTCAAACTCAGGACCATTGCGAGCCACAAACTGTGCCAACTTGTCAATTATGTTTTTTAGTTCTTGGTCTGTAACAAAACAAACATTTTAGAAATTTCATCATCAATATTGTATACCACTTATTCAAAACTGGTGGACAATTCCTGAAATCCCAATCTATTCAGTTAGACAGACATACTGAATTTGTGGGATAGAAAATGAGACTCTTTAGGAACTAGATCCTTAAAAGGGGTCAAGAAATAGCACTTGCCACTTAGAACAAACAGCTGCTGGGATACTGCCATATGTATCATCATCATCATCTTCATTTTACGGCCTTTTTCAAACTGGTGTGAGCTGGCCGTCATTAGCTGATGGCAGTTCTCCAGGATACACAACCCCCTGCAACTTTATTCCCATCCATTTCATACAGAATCCACAAGAAAAAGAGTAACTAGGGCATAAAATGTGATTTGCAGATCTATCTGCCATTTCTGATATCAATTGATTGTCCTGGGGCATCCATCTCATACTATGGCAGCCTGAAAAAGGGCTGACGGAAATAAAAATTTTAACTGATACACGACTCTCATCCCAGTCAATTTATGATTTATCGTAGATAAACAAACAAAACTTACATTACCTAGCTATCCTAAGATGGAAGCATTTTATTTTAAAATGGGTTAGGTAGGTTAGGTTACATTAGATTTGGCTAGGTAGATTAGGTTAGGTTAGATTAGTTTTGGCTAGGTAGGTTAGGTACATTCATATCTTAGGAAGCATTTGTCAACAGTACAAGAGCAACCATGGTATCATCATTGCAAGGACAAGCAGTGTCTTTATTTACAACAAACATTAAGGAAAACAAAATATAAAAAGTGCAATTCCTACAGTCAATTTGGTTTATTCTTGAGGTAAAAAATTAGTTTTCCTGTATACAGTTTGCTAATTAGGAATCTAGTTAACCCAGATGACTATTGTTAAGTGTTACGAATTAATTTTACACCGTGACTAATTGTGCGGATCTGTATGGCCAATTTCCCCATGCTAAACATATCGAAAAAATTCGTTGGTCAAGTTGTTTCTCCAAATGGCCGAATAATTATACCAAAATTGTCTCTCATTTGAGGTTAGGTTAGCTTTCTCGAGATTCATTCAATTCTCAAGCCATCGCAAGTGATGTGATGAGATTTCGGTGAAATTAGTCTGTAAGATTAGCCTTACCGTAGCCTTTAATTGGGGTCTGCCCATTTCGTTACCAACCCATTTCGTCACCAATGCTTTACCTGTTTCGTCACTGTGTTTATTCTCATCAATATATACACGAAAATAACTGTTGTTTGTGATAGAAAATAGTAAAAAACACTAAGGCAATTTATTAAAGACGAAAATAAATAAAAAAAACATTAATACGCCTGCAATCATCCCACTGCTGGGTGCTTTATGCGCTGGTGCCAAATCACCTTCATTTGTTAAATTTTCAATTTCAATTGCTTATTCCTTGATAGAGGAAGCAGGATCCTAGTGCTGTCACTAGGTACCCCTGTACAATGGCACCAGAAGCATCTGGCAAGTGTGACAAGTATATACAGTATAAATATTATAAAGGGGCTTACTAAAGCCTAAGGAAGGAAGGATATTCCTTTAACACATAATCAATATTATTTACAAAATATCTGGCCAGTATGGGGAGGATCATCGTGTCTCCGTCAGGGGGTCGTGGAGTGGTGGTCCAGCAGGCGTCACGGAAGAATTGTGTGTGGGGACATCTTAGGAGGTAGTGGATAAGGGTGCTGCTGTCGGGTCTGCTTCATTTGTTCTGTATTTTGTCTATGTTTTAATCGTTTTCTTTATTAAATAATTAATATTCATAAATAATAACAACACAATACTTCTCGAGTCGTCTGTAAAATAATAATTTACAATTTGTCACTAATACTAACGACTGTTAGTGGTGATGAAACGGATTTGATATTGGTAACAAATGGGGTTTTGGTAACGAATCGGGTCGGTGACGAAGTGGATTGGTGACGATATGGCGTGTATCCCTTTAAATAGGGTCCGACTAATTACCCAAATGTACCCAAATGTAGCCAAATATAGCCGGAATGAAGTCAAATAATGGTCCTAGATGAATAAATCGGACTGCCAATCACTTCTCGACTAGTATTTGGTGTCACAAAGTCACAAAAAATTGGTAAACTTAATTTAATCTGAGTTAATAGATCGAGTGCACGTACGTAACCTAACCTCGACTAGTATTTGGTGTCACGAAGTCACAAAAAATTGGTAAACTTAATTTAATCTGAGTTAATAGATCAAGTGCAAGTACCTAACCTAACCTAACCTAACACAACTCAGATTAACTTAAGTTTACCAATTTTTTTTTACTTTATGACACCAAATAATAATCGAGAAGTGATTCAGTCCGATTTATTCATGTAGGACCATTATTTGACTTCATTGCGGCTACATTTGGGTAATCAGTCGGACCGCTTTAATTATACCAAGACTTACCACCCAGTACCACACACATACCTGGACTGTCTTAGTTTAATCTGCTAATGGTAGTGTAGCTGGTGAGCCAATGTGAACCTGTATGGCAGTATGAAGAAGGCTTTTACCGAACAAATTTTAATTATCTACTAATTACGAATAGATCTAATAAATATCTATCAATCTATCAGGTTAAAAAGACTAAACAATTAAGCATAACCAACAACTGGAACAAGCATCAGTTAGATCATCGTTTCTTCTTTTATATTGGTTTATTCATTCTAACTAACCTGGGGGAGGTTGAGGAAGCTCCATGGTGATTAGTTTGAGTAGTTTCAGTTAAATAAAGCTTCTTGATGACATATATAAGGCAGGTAAAACATCCGCCGTCTACTCATGACAAGAGGCGTATGAATCAATGTTGCCAAAACGGTAATAAACCTTAGGCAGGGTCAGAGGGTCACTAACATGATTTTTTACCGATTCATTTTTTTATTGGTATTCATCAGTTAGAACTAACAGAATATCCTAATTACATTTATAATAACCAAATTTGGCCTGTAGTTACATTTGCGTGAAAATCAATTATGTAAGGTTTGTTTTAATAGATGACTGGTTTAATATTTTTCTTATACATCTTGTTTACTTGGAGTTAAACCAGTAGGTGCTATATTTTCATCTATATTATAGTTGCCCCAAAAATTCATATAATAATAAGAACCGGCATTTTCTCAACACATTTCTCCATTTTCCTCTTGCTGTCTCAAGGATCACCAATAGAGACTTGTGTGGTAACAATGTCCCAGGCCAAACAAACCACATGCTGCATAAAAGTTAAATATAAAATGTATTAATTTTCTTTCATTCAAATCAAAATTATCTAAAATATTCCTAGAAATTAATAATTGTTTACTTATTAAACCTGACACAGTCTAACTATGAGTCACATGGTGTATAAAAAATAAATATGAACTGTATTAATTTTCTTTTTTCTAAATTATCCAGAACATTCTTAATTTCTTCTTTTTTTTACATTTTAAACGTGACACAGTCTAACTATGAACAGGAGTTATATGAGAGTTGTCAATTTCATTAGCTTTAAAAATGATTACAATGCCGATCATATCTAGGCCAATGCTTGATGTACACTTATAATAACTTATCTGCAATAATAGGGATTACAGAGCAACTGTTAGAAAAGAAAACATTATGGTGGTGCATAACTCGGTTTTTATGGTGGACAGAAGTGTGGTATTTTAAGGTTCCAATACATCCTGAACCAGAACAGCAACTCACATGGTCCTCTCCACTGATCGGTTCCTTAGCTCCTGTTATCTGAACCTGCTCCAGTGTTGGTCAAGTCTGGCCTTCAATTCGCTCACACTCTGTGCGTCACAACGCTCATTGGCAGATTGTTCCAAGAGTTCACAACTTGTGCAACAGTACTCCAAAAAAAATTGCTCTCAAGTTTCTGGAGTCCTGGCTTCTTCAACCTTAAACTGTGACCCCCGGCCCCTTGTAAGTGGACGTCCACCAGCTCGAGGTTTGCATATTCGACCGAGTAGTGCCCCCTGAGATGTTTAGGTCGCCCGTCTGTAGTATAAGCTCAGTACTTTTACTTTTATCCTCTTCGCCACTGATCGGCTCGCTAGCCGCCCGGGCGATCGGTCACGTCTCTGTCACACAGTGTTGGCAGGTACTGGGCATGCACCGGCTCCTGAATGTACCTGAACCTGCTCCAGTGTTGGTCAAGTCTTGTCTTGAAAGAGCTCACACTCGGTGCCTTCACACAACCGGTCCGACTAATTACCCAAATGTACCCAAATGTTGCAAAATGTAGCCGCAATGAAGTCAAATAATGGTCCTACATGAATAAATCGGACTGCTAATCACTTCTCGACTAGTATTTGGTGTCAGAAAGTCACAAAAAAATTGGAAAACTTACTTTAATCTGAGTTAATAGATCGCGTGCATGTACCGAGGGAGCGAGGAATTACCCAAATGTAGCCGCAATGAAGTCAAATGATGGTCATACAAGCGTAATTCAGGCTGTGAATCACTTCTCGATTATTATTTGGTGTCATAAAGTAAAAAAAAATTGGTAAACTTAATTTAATCTGAGTTGTGTTAGGTTAGGTTTGGTTAGGTTAGGTTAGATACATGCACTCGATCTATTAACTCAGATTAAAGTAAGTTTTCCAATTTTTTGTGACTTTCTGACACCAAATACTAGTCGAGAAGTGATTGGCTGTCGTATCCTATATTGATCGCGCTGTGTACTGACATTATTTTCGTATTTAATTTACTATATAATGACTGGAAAGCGTGCAAGTGAGAGTGTTGGTGGTGCTCAGAAGAAAAGGAGACAGTCAATTACTTATGAGATGAAAATGAAGATAATAATGCTGTATAAAATTGGAAAAACTGTAGCAACAATTTCACGCGACCTAGGGTTTTCGCACTCGACCATATCCACTATTCTGAAGGACAAAACGTATTCGTGATGTAGTGAAAGGATCAGCACCTATAAAGGGAACTATAATTACGAAGAAAACACAAGGTCCCATTCACGATATGGAAAAATTATTGGTGATGTGGATGGAAGACCAAATACAGAAGCGTGTACCCTTAAGCCTTCTAACCTTACAGGCTAAGGCAAGAAGCCTGTTCGAAAGCCTGAAGGCGCAGACAGGAAATGAGTGCGAACAAACCTTCACAGCAAGTCATGGGTGGTTTAACAGATTTAAGAACCGCTACAGTTTACACAATGTTAAGGTGAGTGGAGAGGCAGCTAGTGCTGATGTTGGTGCTGCCGAAGCTTTTAAAGAGGAGTTAGATCGTGTGATTGTGGAAGGAAATTATTTGCCTGAGCAAATATTCAATGTGGATGAAACTGGATTATTGTGGAAGCACATGCCTGAGCGGACATACATCCACAAAGAGGCAAAAACAATGCCAGGATTCCAGGCATTCAAGGACAGAATTACATTTCTGTTGGGGAGGAATGTTGCTGGTTTCACGATCAAGCCCTTCATGATCTATCATTCAGAGAACCCCAGGGCTTTTAAATATGTCAGCAAGCATACACTGCCAGTGTTTTATCGCAGTAACAAGAAAGCCTGGATGACCCTTGTACTGTTTGAGGATTGGTTCATGAATTGTTTCATTCCTCGAGCCAAGGAGTATTGTCTGCAACAAAGGATTGCATTCAAGATTTTGCTGGTTTTGGATAATGCTCCGGGACACCCACCACACCTGGACGACATGCACCCTGATGTTTAAGGTAGTGTACATTCCACCTAACACTACCTCTATCATCCAACCCATAGATGAAGGTGCTATTGCTGCCTTTAAAGCAAATTATTTACGTACGACCTTCGCTCAGGCTGTTGCTGCTACTGAAAGTGAGAAAACGCTCAGAGAGTTTTGGAAGGAGTACAACATTTTGTCATGTATAAAGAACATTTTTGCAGCATGGGATCAGGTTACACAACAGTGCATGAATGAAATATGGAAGAAAACACTGAAAAGATATGTGAACAGTTTCAGAGGATTTAATGAAAATGAAGTTATTTCTGAGATTAGTAACAAGATAGTGGAGTTAGGTAAACAGCTTCAGTTAGAAAATGATAATGAAGATGTTGAACAGTTGGTTGAAAGTGTAGCAGAAGAGCTAAGTAACGAGGATCTTATCAAACTGGAAGCACACAAAAATGCAGAGGAAGAAGCAAGTCAAAATGTAGAAGAATGACCTGCAGCCCCAAAAAATTTTCAGTGAAGTAAATGGCAGAGGCATTTGCTACAATTAATAAGGGGATGCAAATGTTTGACGGAATGGATCAAAATTATGAGCGTTTTGCCAAAGTTGACAGAATGGTCCAAGATGCACGTGCTTGCTACAGGGAAATTTGTAACGAAAATAAAAAGCAAACTGTGCAGTCTAAATTGGACATCTATTTTAAGAAGTCCCCCATTGCTGTCTCCTCACGCCCCACCAGTGCTGCCTCTTCACTCCCTCAAGATGATCCAATACCTTCAACCAGCAAGTTTCCCCTGTACATAAACCCGTCTGAAGAAAGCGACATTGATGACCCACCCAGCCCTGTCTCCTCCTCTGCTTCATCCATTTAATATTGTCTCCATGTATCCCATAAATAGAAAATTATGGGGGCCCCATGTGCATTCAGCTAACTGTATCCATTTCTCATTATTTATTACCTTTACTGTACTGTATTTCATTGTAGATTTTTTTTTTCTTTTCTTCTATGTCCGACTTAAGACCATTCCTACTTACGACCTGGATTTGGGTCCCTAACCCCGTCGTAAGTCAGGGAACAGCTGTAATGAGTTTTATTACTATTGAATTTAACCAAGTTTCTACCTCCCCATTCGGAGATGCTGCACAGATCCGCATTGATAGATGTAATATCAGCTCTAGAAAAAGATCTAGTTTGAGAACTGGGGGGAAGGGGAAAATGTGAAGAGTAGAATCATCAGCGTAAGAATTGATAGAATTAGTTGTACTGTAGTGTGAAGTAAATCATTGATAAAAAGAAGGAAGAGAGTAAGTGAAAGAACAGAACCCTGTGGGACATCACTATTGGTAGGATAAGAGCGAGAGATCGATCCCTTGACAACTGCTGCCATGGATCGGTTCTCAAGGAACCTAGAGAGTCGAGAAAAAAGTGAGGAAGAGAAACCATAAGAGGGAAGTTTAGAAAGCAAAGACTTGTGCCATACCCTGTCAAATGCTTTGGAGATGTCGAGGGCCACAATGAAAGTTTCCCTATAATCCCTAAGAGAGGATGACCAAAGTTAGGCGCAATACTTGTACATGATTTTCACAGATTGACAAAACAGTATATCATAGCATTATAGGTACTATATAAAAAAATTACATCTCAGTAAATACCTTCAATAACCTTAAAAAAGGCAGCAAAATTCATGCAGGAAAAATATGTTTTTGCTGGCAAAATCACACGTAGCACTTAAGTAAACGTTTACCAAAGTTTTGGATAGTTCAATCGTCTTTCATAAATGGTATATTGTTAGACTCCGTTAGTCATCATTTATGTACAGTCAGCCAAAGATGCATCGACCCCACCCTGGGTCTCGTGCTCGCAATTTTACCTGGCAATACTTGGTAAAGTAAGGCTGTATGTAAAGGTGATTGTAATTGGTGGATCTGTTTTTGGCTGTGTCAGTGTCAGGATAATTATTAAAGAAACCAAAGGTATAATTTTTTTTATTAATAAACAGTTCATTGCTATTTAAGGTCATGAGAAGTTTCCAAATTTTAATATACTGTATTTGCTTAAATAATGAAGAAAATTACAGTATATTAATGACGTGGCAACTCGACTACAACCACGCTGCCACAAGAATCACAAAAAAAAATAAATAAATTAAAGTAAAGTGATCACAGAGAAGCTGAATACATTAGAGTACATTTTCTGTTTTGGTGATGTTCAGTGCAGTACAAATATCCCATACATTTTATGTAGTGGATGCAATCCAGTAAAGCACTGGGTAATTTTTGACGACTGACCTGCAGCTGCTTTTTCATATTAAACCATTATAATGTTTTGTAGTGGACACTTTTGTAATTTGTGCTAATGTGTTAAAAAAGTGGTTATTTCTAAATTAAATCTAACCTAACCATAGTTGATATGAAAAACAAGCATCAGAAGTGGTGTTAGAAGATCTCCCCAATCTTACCTGGTATTATTAACATGTCGGGTACCCAGTGATTTTTAATAAATAAATTTTTTTGAAACGGTAGTACTGTAACTTTTTTGTTTTTTGTGATTCTCAACTAAGGAGTTGAATTTTTTTTTTTTAGCCTTTCTACAAAAATGACTCCATTGCATTAAGCTTCAAATATTGAGAAAAATGTGATCAAAATTATATCCCAAACTAGTAATAGTCATGGTCCAAATATTTACCCTTTCGTCTTTAACGAACCCCCTTTCTCCCTAATTGGTCCATTATGTTTGGAGTATGCTGTAGAGGGCATACAGTATTGAAGTATTTATTTGTATTTTTTGCTTATGATAAGCTCAGACAAAAACATGGTGATTTTCTTCTGACACTGTTCTCGCATTTTACGTATAACCAGAATACTGTATTGGGAGTTGAAAATCAGAAAACTACTAGACAAAATCTATTGTTGCATTTGTTGTCATCAACCAAATCTAGTGAATTTTTATTTGCAAACGATAGTTTAGACAAGAATAAAACACTTTTCTTCAATGACATTTCCCTCGCAAACAACCTAGAACCGAGATATTTAATATGTTGGGGGCCCAGGGGGCAACCCCCCCCCCCCCTCAGTTATGAGACTAGGTAGGTTTGGATGATTTGGATAACTTAATTAGTAAAACATGGCTTGTAGCACCAACCAAACCTACCTAACCTTACCTAACTTCCTAACCATGGGGATCTGGCCCCTGGACCCCCTGGCATAATAAATATCTCGGTTCTAGATTGTTTGCTAGGGAACATCATAAAAGAAATGTGTCTTAGAAATGTTTAAACTATTGT